CCGAGGCCGCAGCTGGAGCCGCAGGATGTGTCTTAATGCCCACCCCGGGGCATCCCGGCTGGCGGGAAATCCCTCTCCCTCCCGGGGCGTTCCCTCTGCTCCCGTAGCACTTTGTTGCATCTGGAGGTGTCTGGAGAGATCATGTCCGTATGAAACGCGAGGCAGAAGCGCCAAAGACCACTTCAGACATTCGTACCTTCGTGTCATTCCACCTTCCTGCCCCGCCCAGCTCTCGGAGGAGGAGTCTCCTGACGTTGGGACTGGTTTGGCACTTCTGTCACTCCCTTTGTTTTTAAATTGCCTTGAAAACCTCCCCGATGTTGGCGGGGATTTAGAGACTTTTTTTGGGTTTTTTTTTAAACGTAAACGTTTTCTCATCATTCCATTGTGATACTAAAACAACATGCTTAATGGGAATAAAGTGCTTACTTCGTTGTTTTAAATAACTTGGGGCTGGGTTCGTTTCCCTGGAGGTCATTTTGTATAAATGAACAGGCAGTGATCCACAGCTTTTCCCAGGATCGGGAATGAGGAGCAGCCAGCAAGGATCCCAACAATTCCAGCAGCTCCTGGAAGGTGCAGATCAGTGGTGGCCTCTTCTGCTGTCTCCTCATTGTTTTCCTCCTGTGTTGTGGTGATTCATTCATCCCCTCCAGCACACGTGTCTGAATCGATCATGAAGTGCCTGCAGGAAGAAAAGGAAGAAATCCCTCATTCCCAGGGAGCCTGGAGCTGAATTTCACCCTCTGCCCAGTGACACAGTGGTGGCATTTGGTACAATCCCAGACACCAGTCAGGCCGGAGCAGATTGTGTGGGGCTTGTGGATCTCTGATCATTCAGCTGAAAATTATTTCTTTTCCCTGAGAAGAATTTCTTTTCTCTGGTCAGGATGCCCTATTATATCAGTCCTAACTTTTATGTTTAATAGATTAAATTGGAGAGACATGGAGTGACAGGACAAGGGGAAATGGCCTTAGGCTGAATGAGGGCTGGGTTAGATGGGATACTAGGGAGGCCCTGGCACAGGGTGCCCAGAGCAGCTGTGGCTGCCCCTGGATCCCTGGCAGTGCCCAAGGCCAGGCTGGGCAGGGCTGGGAGCAGCCTGAGACAGTGGGAGGTGTCCATGGCAGGGGTGGCACTGGATGAGCTTTGGGGTCCCTTCCAACCCAAACCATGCCATGATTCTGT